TATTTGATAAAATGCAAATTTAGGTTTAGAATTGCATGTTTTCCATTTATGTTACGGTTTTCTTTTATATTAAATAGTACTAACTATTTTTTTTGTTATACAAATACTTTTCAGCTTGTAATTACAAATCTTGTCGAATACACGGAGCAACTGTCGGAGTTTTTTATTCACAACATGATTTTCAGTTATTTTAGTTCTTAAGTTATGTATTATTTGAAATATTCTTTTCACCATTAACATTTAAGAACGATTTGCATATCTAAATACTTTTCTTTCGGGCAAAACTGTTCTCTGTACTAGTTAGTAGGGCGCCTCTCGCGTACCCCCTTTGCTCCAAGAGCAGCCGCTCAGCAAGGAAATGGATACGAGGAAACGTGATACTCACGTAAGGCGGCTCATGACCAGACCTTGAAATCTCGGTTTAGTTCAATTGTACCTTGAAATACTGAGAGAAGCTTTATGTCATTCCCTTGGAAATGAATGTTATTAATAAAATATTCCAATACTTTTTGGTAATAATATCTTTAGAATCGCGACGTTGTTTGCGATTTTTTGCGAATGGCCTCTGGGTCTAATATAGTCTATTTATAGAGCTCAATGGATTAAATGTATTTCAAATTTTGAGTTTCGTCATATATTATAGGGTTGTGAGGCTAGACATGAAATAACAGTTCATGAAAAGTGAGATCCTTGGTGGTGAGTCACCTTCATTGCACCACAGATGTGAAACTGAAGATTCGCGGTGATTCATCGACTTACGTCAAAATAATGAACTAGTATATCGTCAATATAAAGATATATTAGAGGTTATCTGAAGATTAGCTAGAAAAAACTGAAAATTAATTTCCAGCAAAAATATGCGTGAATATATTATGTGAAGCGTATTCTTATAGTAATATACCATCGTGAATGAACAATATAACTAATCCCTTATTTACAATAGCGAGAATCAATAATCTATTTAATGTTTTAATTTCATCATTAACGTCAATCTCAGTAAGGAATCAATCACAAGAGATTAACTGTAAAATATTATCTATTTTTGTAACAGTAAGTATCACACAATTAGAATTGACAAAACAATGTATAAGATGCATAACGTCGAGTGTACTTATTTTTAAAGTACAAGTGGTATTTTAGAACATTATTCGCAAGTGAAATTAAATAGGAAGAAATCTTAATGTTTACGACACTAGAATTAATTATTGAAATAATCATATCTGCTTCTGCTTCTACTTTCAACCATGTAGTACTAAATATAAGTGCACGAATATCGCAAAAAACAACAAAAAAGATAAACAAATGTAATAACATTGCATTGCATTTTAATGTATCTTGTAGATAGAGACACATGCAAATCTTAAATCTCAAAGATAGAAATCTCATGAGAAAAATCGCTGTAATAAAGATAACTTGCATTCATTTTAAAGAAAAATAAGTGAAATTAAAATAACAAATTGGCAGTTGATTAGAACAATTGTTATTTTTTCGTCTTTTTTGTTGTTTATAAATGAATTCAGTACATACAATTCACGCCTTGCAACTTCTGAGGAAACATACAAAGCATTCGTGATGTTTCCAAATTGTCAGAGACGTGGTCCTTACCCGAAAAACTCCCCCACCCCGTGCTTTACAGAAATCAGCGCGTCACTGTTTGCTGTTGTGTCTGAGAGAGCAGGACGCAAGAGCGTACGAGTAACATTCCCGCTTGTGGTCGGGCGGCCGTGGCAGGCGGTCGCCGGCGACAAGTGGAGAAGGGGGAAAGAAGAGGGACGGGGCACTTTCACTCTCGCTGCCTCTGCTGACCCACTTGTTCATTGCGTCAGCGGAGCCTGCCAGGCTCCACCGGCCCGGAGACACAGCCACTGCCTCTGCCACTCTCAATAGGCCACCGCCACCGGCCCCGCCCTCGCCTTCGGTATCGCCATCGCCACCTCCACCACTCTCACCACCGCCACTGCTACCACCTCTGCCATCGCTAACACCTCTGCCACTGCCACCGCCACCGCCACCACTCTCACTACTGCCACTGCTACCACCTTTGCCATCGCTACCACATCTGCCAACGCCACCGCCACCGCTACCACCTCCGCCATCACCAACGTCTCCGCCCTCATCCTCGCTACCAACACCGCTCCTGCCACCGCCCTCTCCTCCGCCACCGCCCCCGTTCCCACCATCACCTCCGCCACAGCCAACGCCCTCGTCACCTCCACCACCACCACCGCCACCATCTCCACACTCACCGCCTTCATCACCATTCCCCTCCACCAATCATCTGCATCACCAACTCCTTCACCATCGTGTCCGTCTCTGCCACCGTCGCAACCCTCCCCCTTCGCCTTGATGTGTACTTCTAACTCTGCCTCTAAATGACCAAATTGACTGGACGAATGCTGAGTTGCACAGAGACGCATGCGTCGGCAAGTGTAGTGGCGCAAGCAGCGCGTTTCCTTGTGGCGTATCTAGGTCTTAGAAAAGATGCAGACCGCGTCGGGTCTCATCGACATTGTTTTTAAAGATACATGTTGCGAATAGTTGGAGACACGTTTTGCTAAAATTATTTAATGATGATGAAGGTAATAATTTCTAGACTTTTCAACTTATCGGTCTATATTTTTCAAACAGGTGAAGCACAGGTCACTATTTGTAACCGGTGACACATGGGGGGGCATTTGCAAAGAGTAAAATCATGGGCGAGAGAAGTAGTTTTTGTGATGCCAAGGCTAATATGGTAAACCTTAACATGCATATAAGCAAAGTTTAATATCGTGTGTTCAAACCGCGCGAAAAGGGGTAAACTGATTCGTGGATTAAGTGGACAATTTCTGTTAGTAATAGAAATTCCAAGGTACTTCTCGAGATTAATTAAAAACACTAAAAATCCAGAAACTTTTCAAGCGTTTTTTGCAAATATCGAATTACAGCGGGATGAAATAATTTAAAAATAATGCCAGAATGTTTCTTTTATACATTAACGTGTCGTAAATAATTAAGTTGAAATTATTTACGATGTATTATGCATAATAACGATCTTTCCTAAAATTATTCTTATCAAAATTGAAAATTCAATACTACATATTAGCACTTAATGAATACAAGCGTGAGTACATGTATAATTCGTTTTTTAAATCCCACATTTGTTGTCTAATGGGATGTCTATGGGACCAATACTTCTGCCTGCCAAAATCCATGTGTCGCCAGTACCCGATTTAGCTGAAACGGAAGCTGTGGCACAACTTGAGGCCATCTCGTGGCCATCTCGTTACTAGACTTGAATTTCCGTTTGTAGAACTCCGTGTGAAACCAGCGTCGAGTTCACGAGTTCATGGACTGAATGAAACCACGAGACATTTTTAATGTTAAAATTAGTATTCCAATAAATAAACAAATAAGTTTAAATTTGTTTGTTTGAATGTGTTAAATTATCGTTTTAATTATTAATGTAGTGTAAATTATTGAATTCTATAGTTTTAGGTTAGAAATTCGTGGCTCTTACTTTTTACACGTTGCGTGAATATGGAATGGCTGGCGGCTTAGTGGTCAGGTTTTCACTTTTGGAAACCAGTTTCCAATCCTGGTCAATCCGCGAGAAAATAACGATGTACGAATATGGAGGTTTCTCTTCCGTAATTATCATAATTCATTCATTCTTTTACTCATCTATTATTTTCTTCAGAATGGATTTTCAATCTCAGTCAACCGAGTTAGATGGAATTATAGGGTTAATATGCAGAATTTCATCAAAATGCCAGATTTTGTTGAATCTGTGAAAAAGAAATTCAAAAATTGATCATATGTAAATATAAAATAATATAAAATGCAGTTTCAGATATCTAGTTTCTTTCCGTAGGATATTCTCTGTATAAAATTAAGAGAAATAACCAAGAGGACATTATAAAATTTATGAACGTACTTTAAGTTCTTTTGAAGCGTAGGGTTACTCGGCATCTTTAAATCATGAAGATATATTGATAGAGATTATTGATACAGATACATATTTTTGAAAAGACTTCATCCTCTCCTATTTCTATTGGCACCATAGTTCACAGACGGACCTGGACCTGCTTCACGACGTCGTTCCATATTCGTCTACCCCCCCTCTTTCCTACTGTAGATCAGTACTCCTCGCTTCTCAAATCTCCCCCTAATCAGCCAGCGGAGGGTTTGTCTATCGCTCCAAAAATCTTCCTCTGAAATTCATCTCGATGTCGAATGTTATACAGTGGTTGATCTAGATAATCAATTTGCGATATGAGGGGTCATAGACTAGTAATTTCATTTTATTTATTTATTATACAGGTTGTTTTGTTTTTATTTTTTCTGCATATGCTAATATAGTCGGCTGAGATAAGAGCCGCACAGCCTCCGTACTTGTCTGATTACTTCCTGACGTTTGCTCCTATCATTGCTGAGGGTAGGTACAATCAGAAAGATTCATTTAATTATATTATAGTAGCGTCCTAAAAATGACTTCTAGACACTTAAGAAGTAAGCAGTAGATTTTTGAGGCTACGAAGTACTATTTTTGTTAACTAGAGAATTTTGTTTATAGGCTATTACTAGAATATACAGTTAAGACTCGTGCGTCCTCAGTAACTATTCTGTGGAGAGACCATCTAATTCAGATTTCGTGTGTATTTAAATAGAAGGCGTTTTATATTAAGTAAAATATATAGTCGTATTTCTGGCTTCCAGACAGCAGAGCTGATGATAATAAGTTTTAAAAATCTGCTCATGTAATAAATAAAAATTTTGAGAATAAAAAATCAAATTTTTGGAATTCCAAAAATTCGTCGCAGATAAACCAATATTATTGTTTATAATATGCCTTTTGCTTTTGAAAAATGCTGTAGATTTTTTGACAAGTTTATTTTGGAGAGTGGAGTGCGTCCTGTTTCCCAAATTCTCTCTGGATTCTCCGGAGAGATATACATATAGTCATATATTTCACATAACTCATGCAAATCTTTTCTTCTGATCATTTACAGAACAGAACCATGGGGCTGATGTCCGGCAAGTGCTCTAGCACTGCGCGTCTGGACGGGAAGACGGCGGTGGTGACTGGCTGCAACACCGGCATCGGCCTGTGCACCGTCGAGGACTTCGTCCGGCGAGGTGAGAGGGTGAGAGGAATTTTTGGAGGGTGGAATTTCAAGACCGCATGCGTGTCATTTACTTTGCACTTTTTAAGACAGGTAATTTGCCGACATAGGTAGCTAAGGGCGAATTGAATTGAATTGAATTGAATTGAATTAATGCCTTATTTTACGTGGTGAGACTCAGGCCATGAGGCCTGCTCTTCCGCCTCACCACGTAAATTTCGCTACGCCCCTTTCACTAACTGGCAGAGAAATGAGTTATTTCTTGGGCGAGAAAAATGCTATTTGAATTTAGCTCAGAGGCGTCATTTGGGCTTGAGGATCTTTTGCATGCAAGTAAATCTACTAACATGCGACAGCCGGCTTTACTTCCCCTCCGAAGGAAGACGTACGGAAGGACTTTTAAGGGCGAAGTAGCTAAGAACGTCTACTGCACTTCGGTCCGAAGGGTCGCAGGCTCGAGTTCCGTGGCTCGAGTCCCGTCATGGGCATGGTTGTTTGTCCCTGGTCTCTCATGTGTTGTGGCGGAGGGCCTCGAGTTCTGCTGACTCCAGATCAGAGAACCCCGCAAGTGTGTTGATGTCTAGTGCGTCCCATCGGGACCAATGCATGACCGATTGTTGGCTGGATAAAACCCCTTAAAAACAACAACAGTTGTTAGAGAAAATAATTTAAATTCCAGAAGTGAAAGAAGGGACCATTGGAGGGTTCGTTCAATGAATCATAGGAAATAGGACGAAAACACGTGATAGAGTTGAGGAGCAAAGATGCAGAAGAAATACTGAATCCCATTGAGAGTGGTAAGGGAGAAGAGTGACGTCTGGGAGTTCTCATATCTTATCCCGAAAACAAATTTATTTAAATAAAGCCATATAGTATACTTTTTAAATAGTATTAAATCATTTAAATGAGAAAAACAAAAAACACTAAGCTATTTCGTAAAACTCAATCGTTCAATGCAAATAATATTGAATATCCGCAAATAGGATATTAGTTTATACAATATTTTCGCATTTTGTGCTTGAAATTATACATGCGAGGTTCGTTATATAAGACATGTAAGTTAAGTTTCATTATTTCTTCTGAACTATCAGAACTGTGGTTAGTGCAGGAAATACGTTGCCAATTCAGTTCGACACAGAACGAGATATCATCACCGTATCACATTTGTGGCTACATGATCGGCGACCTCTAGTACGCTAGAGGAAGTGCTCCAAGATAGATGAATATATTTGTTGAACAGCCGGGATATGTGAAAACTGCAGTTCTGCAAGGCAGAAATGCTCGTCAGTGTCTTGCGGATCTACAGTTTATATGAGGAGCATTGGGTGATGGTTCAAGCGGCAAATGAAACTGCTTTTCCGCGCGGCACGTCGGATATCGCCAATCCGAAGGGCTGGCGGTGCCTAAGTACAATTTAACGCGATATATCCCGCGTAATATCAAGTAACACCAAGATTGCGATCGAAGTATGCAATCGCGCGTCGTCGCCGCCGGTTGTAGCAACGACCTTCGTTTCCGCTGGGAAACTGAGTGGCGTAAGGTCATTAGTAAGGAGCCCATTCCGGTCCGCTACCTTCACTTCAGGGAAGACTTCTTCGATTGTGACCTCTATCCGATGGTATTTTTTTCAAGCTGCCTAGAATTGGAATTTGTGGCATAAAGACGATATATTCTTGTGCAGGAGGAAATTAAATTCCTGAACGTTGTATTTCCTACTTTCAGTATAGCCGAGGTTCAGGTTCTCTGTAATCGAATCTTCTTATGTTTATTTGTAATTTAAGTGAAACGGGGCCAGTGACTTAACCGAGGGTTCACGTATCCGAATTCCCTATAACTGATATTCACTTTAATCACTATAACCGGAGTCGTCTGCACTTGTGATGTAAAAACAGTGCTGCGCTTTTCATTTTTAATATAAACTCATGTAGCAATTTTTGTAAAACGATTTTGTCGGTCATGTCGCTTTAAACATGTAAAATCCAAGTACTGATGAGCAGATCTTGCAACATAGCAGATCGCATATACGTTTCAAGTCGACACAATACCGACAAACTTCGTTCATTTCTGCAATGTTACGTTTTTGGAATTATTCTCTCACCCCAAATTCCGAATTGGTAATTTAACCATTTGGAAGTTTTCGTGTAGATATAGATACCCACCTCTCCCACATTATCAGCCTAGAATCAGGAAGCTTTCTGAACACTCTAGCGCGAAGACCACTGTAAGAGCAGCCCTGCTCTGTCAAGTTCTCAGAGCGATCTTTCTCATTTGGTGACACCATGCAGTTGTTCAATTTAAACTCACGTGTTTGTATATCCCACAGTATATCGTCATGCTTGCTTGTTTTCGACCACGAAAAGACATCTATTTTACTGGAACTCGCAATCGGCCTTCGAATTTGATGTTAGGCAATACGTGACGCATGATCCTATTAATACCACTAATTGCGTGGTGCTGACGGACGAGTTGTAATGACAACATTGTCTTTTAATGGCATTCAGTTTCGTAATAAAGGGTCTGAGAAAGGAGCAATTATAAGTCAAATACTGAAATTTACTCATAATTATTGTAGCAGGAGCCACATTACATAATTTTCTACTTAGCTTGTAATATGGATGCGACTATTCGGACGTAAAATGTTGCAATCCATATATTCAAAATGCAAGTAAATTTCAAGCAAAGGGTGTATAATTTGTTTTTGTTTTTATTAATCTATTTATTTATTTATTTCTAAAATAAATTATGAAACTACGTAATTTTAAAAAAGATTTCAAATGGTTTACGTTGCTGTTTGGTAGGGTTGCATTTTCCACGAATCGAAAATAGACTTAGTAGGACGAGGTAGGGCAGGGAAGTGTGAGGAGGGACCGAGTAAAACTGAATGGGTCGGACAGGATAAAATGAGATTGGGCGAGTTCGGGAAGGGATGGGACGGGAAGGCGGGTCGGGGCAGACTAGGGCAGGTCAGGCCAGGTCAGGCCAGACCAGACGAAGGTGAGGGATAAGGAACTTTGTTGTAGGGCGGAGAGGGATAAGGAACTTTGAAAAATGTACTAGGTAGGTAGTTAGAATAACTACAATAAGAAAATAAATAATTGGTTGACTCTGCACATAACTTTTTTGCCACAAATACAGCAGTGAGTATTTTTTTTGAAAGAATTGTGTTCTTTAAAATTTTAGACAGCAGAAGTTTTATAATTTATTTATTCCATATCAAGTAAAAGTTTAACACATTTGAGTGTCCTCAAACGACATTTCAGGAGTTTCTACATTATCATCACCAGGTCTATTGCTATACAATAATTGTTATTTATGACCCGAGTGATATTTTAGACACCCACTACTAAAAATGGCTCTTATAGGGCATGCGTAGTGAGCTAAACGTTCAATTTTTACTTTCTCCCACGGAGTAGAAAGAAGGTTAAGTAATGCTGCCCGAAAAAATGACGTATTTGTGGCAGAAAAACTCTTATTGCAGGGCCCTAGAAACGAAAAACTGGATAAATCCAGGTGCTAAATTTAGAAGAAACTCCTCTATCTCGGGATATAGCCAGAATCCATGTTATGTGGGTCCATGGTAGCGAAAAATCGATTGATGGCAAAAAGGGGGTTCTTTACATGAACCCCCTGGGAACATTTGTCTAATTCAGTCGCTATCTGGAGGAGAATTCTAGCGGCCGGCTGCTTTGGTCGGTAGTTTTCCGTGCTTTCTCCGATCAACACCAGGCGAATGCCGGAGCACAACCCCAACAAATGCTACGGACCGCGAGCGATCTCACCTTTCTCTTCCTTGTTTAGTCCTCACCCCTTACACACACACACACACACACACACACACACACACACACACACACACACACACACACACACTAACACGCATAACACTACCACACATGCCGAGAGACCGGTCGGGAGCTTAGAGCTTGTCCCGGCTGGAGCAGTGCCCCGTTGGTGGGAGATACCTGCTAGGTGAAAACCCCGCTAGCCGACGATAGGTCGGGGCCGAATCTCGCCATCCAGCAGGGGAAAAGATCACCGCCACCTCCCGAGGAAAATATTGCACTACACTTACGGGACTAATGACCCTGGTAGCTGACGTGCCCGAAATCACTAAACAATAAATCAATCAATCAACATTTTGCAAATTATCAAACGAATGGCTTCATCGTTTTTGGTTAACGTTTGTTGTTAGATAGTGTAAAGGGCGATTAAGAGAATGGTCGCAAGCTTATGCTCCTCAAAAACCCTGATTTTTCGAAAATCGCAAAAGTTCAAATCTTTTTCGCAGATTTCCTATAACTGAGATTTTAAAGATACATATTTTTCCGTTAATGAAATCTGTTCCTTAAAAATAGATTTGAAATAAGGTCATGTACAAATTTTCGAAAATTCGAGTACTTTTCGCGTAAATTTGTTTGGAAATTCGGGGGTGAAAGTCCCACTAGTTTCGGCGTAAAAGCTGTAAGGACGCCGGCGTGTTGGCAGGTGCGCGCGTGATCATGGCGTGCCGCAACCTGGAGAAGGCGGAGCGCGCGGCCGAGTGCGTGCGCGTGCGCACGGTGGGCGCGGACGGCGCAGGCGCAGTGCGGGTGGTGCAGCTCGACCTCTCGTCCCTGGCGTCGGTGCGCGCGTGCGCCAAGCTGCTGCTCGACTCCGAGCCTCGCATTCACCTGCTCATCAACAACGCAGGTGGGTCCAGTCAAGGTTGCGCTGCCGAGGCCACGAGCACTAACAACGTGAACTAACTGTGGAAATAATAGCGTTATGAGATTCTATCGGTACGCTCGTTGTAGCGGATCGTTTTTTTTTTTACTTGTTGTGAGATAGTGCTTTCCCGAACGCGATGCCAACCTAACGGAAACATGTCTGTGACGTTGGAGACTACAGAAATGGGGAAGTATAAGTAAAAAATGTAATCTAGAAAAGATAAAGTAAGAGTCCAAACGTTCTTTTGGGCAAAATTACATTTGTGGAAGAAGTTACAATTGCGAACACATCATGGATGGATACATCGATCAAGAATGAGCCAGGCAATCCCCCATTGATTCCAATCTCCTTGCAGGAGAGCGTCGAAGTTCAGATGTGTAGCGGCCAGCTGCGGGTCCATCGATCCACTGTACGTGGAATAGCCGAAGTAAAAAAAAAATGGTGTAGAATTATGTCAAACGTGATGTTTTCGCGCATTTTCCCTTCAAATCGCAAGAAATGATTTGCGCAAAGGGCTTGTTTGTGTTTGCACTTATCGAGCTCCTCCGAGGCAAAATAGATCGTATAAATTTATTCGCCCTACAATTAGGCATAACGCGGTGACAGTTCTATCAGAAACAGAAAATTATCTTTAACTTTAAACTAAATACTGGTGAACAATAATAATACTAGTATATAGAAATAAGTAATAATAAATATCGGATATAATAGTCAACGTTTAGCTAAATTAGCGATTGTCTGTTTTATATATAAGTTCCAATACTGTTCTACTAAATGAAAATTATCCTCCTGTTTGTTTTGTTTTTTTGCTCAAGTTTTATGAGTGCGATCGCCTCCCCCGAGATAATTTGCTTTTTGCAGCCTACGCTGAATTGTGTTCTGAACACTGTGTGATTGCCTCTCGTTGCGCTTGCAGGCATCATGGCGTGTCCCGAGATGCGGACGGAAGACGGCTTCGAGATGCAATTCGGCACCAACCACCTGGGCCACTTCCTCCTCACGTGCTTGCTGCTGCCGCGCATCCGCGCGTCGGCGCCAGCGCGCATCGTTACCGTCTCCTCCGTTGTGCACTCCAGTAAGACATTTAATTACTTTTTAATTTCAGTTTATCGGTCACACGCGTCTTTAACACCTGTTGACACGCAACTCTACGGGATTTTTAAGTTCACTTGTACCTACCTGTATGTTAAGAAATTAAACATCCTTAGCAAAAGTAAATAAACAACATTCTATTCATTTAATAAGTTAAATTAGAGATGTTGTCTGGTATCGAAAAATATACTTTGTTTTCGGCCCGGAATCTGCAAGCTCTGAGGATGATCGCTTTGCGATCGAAATGATCATGATACAAATATATTTCTTGATACCAGACAACATATTTAATTTACCGGAATTAAGTATTAGAAGGTATCTACCTCACCGGCGATCTAATTAATAACTACTAACTACCAAGTCAACTTTTTTATTAAAAAACAAACAAATTCGGTTTAAACAAATCATAAAAAGTGTAACTCATATTAGTTTTGTGGCTTATTATTGTTAATTGTATTATGAATAGTACAATAATTATAAAAATGTATATTAGGTAAATTAACATAATTTTCCTGGCATTCCACCAAATGAAACTCTTCTTCGGCACTTGTGATTCTGTACATTTTTTTGAGCTCCAGAATACCTAGCCCCAGCCTTATACTATTCAATGCTGAATAATGGATTACGATAGGAACGAGTGTCTTTATCGAAATTTGATAATTACAATAATTTTTTCTCCTTCAATAGAAACCATATGCATCGGCCAATGAACCACAGCTTTTGGTTCTTATTCCTTATCGTGTTTTAAGCATTCGACTTACTGCCGCGAGAAAACGGAGAACGATTGTTTTGATGGTACTGTTGAATGTATGAATTTTATTTTACAACTTCGTAAATACAACCGTTGATTAACAGTATATATTTACATAATATACACAGTACATACTAAGAAAATAATAGATCGCTACATACTAAGCCCTTTACTGTATTTATCAAACACAGTGATCTTTTTACCTTTGTTCTCTAATAGCCACGTCACTTTATCATTAATATTCCACCTTGCCCACATATGTCCTTCCTCAAAAAACAGACATCTCTCTAAAATATGTTTCTAATCTTCCTCTTTCATTTCACTTGCCCTACAATTTTCCTCTCAAATTTCAGCCAATATTCACTCGCTGTCATTTCATTACCTAATCTATACCTTGCTATCCTACGTCTGTCGCTTTTCTTACATTGATCGTTTGAATAGCTGGGAATATCATCCATCAGAATAATTTGAAACTATTTATTAAAATTTGAATTTCTTATTTTTTCGTAATCTTCCTGCAATAACTGATATTTATCTCCTCTTAACCTTGACACCTCCTCCAACAAATAACCTTTATTATTCCAAAAATATTCCCTTTCCCAATCAGATTAGTCAGTCTCTATGTTTTAACCTATTTTCCAACAAACTTGCTTTAATAATTCATTTCCCATCCCTCCTCTTTCCTTTTCCTTAAACTAACATGCCATTTTGCCCATCTCTATTCTCATCATTTGTCTCTTTGGCTCACATCGTGCCATGTAACCAGGTGTGCAATAGTATGTTCCTAGGATCCTTCTTAAAAATCATTCATGTATTGCTTCTAGTGCCCTCCTTTCCTTCCACCCCCAAATTTCCGATCCACTGTTGAAGAAATGATTAAATTCTCCACAACCTCCCAAAAGAGCTCAAGACAACATGCGCAGTCAGAGAAGCGTCAAAGAAAACATGTGTCATTTCAGCATTTGATCAATGGATCAAGGTAAACTGCTCGCAAAAGAGATGGGTGTTGCGAAGAAATGTGTTCATATTTAATACGCGTTCGGGAGTCTTCCGACCATTTGAACCTGTCCCGCATCCGTTCTTCCACCTAAACTGAAATTAGCGTTTCTCTTATCGCGCCTGGGATATGATTATCATTTTCGCCGCAAGATGTCGCTCTGTACTCGTTATGTCCAGGATGTCTAACCGGTTGACCGTGGATCTTGTTTGGCAGGAATATTACCGGCGGTCGCTTTTATTTTGCCGGGCAACTGCCAAGAGTCTTTTTCAGGCCTCAAGTATGACACGTCACGATATTCAGCATTTTCACCTTTCCACTGCCCCTAGCGGGGTTTGAAAACGTAAACTTGGGTTCTGGAAGCTCCCAAACAAGTGGAGTCAGTGTGCGCTCTACTCACGGTCTGATGCTCTAATACACTGAGCCGAAGAATCGCTTGAATTTCTCTGGAGAGCCAGCAAGTGTTTTCTTACCCACAACGTATTATTTCGCATATCGTCCTTTAGTGGTCACGTTATTTACAATCGTTCAGCAATCCTGTTGTTTTTGAGGTCAGCGATCAAGCACACTTTTCTATGCTATTTATAAAACAATTTAAAATAAAATATACGTGTTAAAAATCATGTATTTATTAGTTTAAAATATCTGTTTAGAATATCCATAAATTATTAAGTTAATGTCATCATTATAGAGATTATCGTTTTCATGATTATTATTATTTTAAAATAATTTTAAGTTATATTGTATTAATATTACTTAATGGAAGTTTGTTAATGGAAGTGTTCTGTCTTGAGGTTGCATAACAGTTCCTGCAGAAATTATAAATATCTATCTTAATTACCTGATTTATTTCTACATTTTGTTTGGTGGCTATAATTTTGTTAAAAAGGAGAATTTTCATCGATTTTAGAAAATAAGACAATTCAACTACCTTACATTCACTTACTGAATTCAGTGGGTCATTCGTTTGACAGAACCTCAATTGGTTTCTACCTGTAATTATGAGAATATTATGAAAGAATCAGGGAGAATGATTATTTCTGTACGAGTACATTTTTATGTATCTATATATTTTCGCAAGTTTTGACTTACAAATTGTATTGTGTCAAAAGCTGAAGTGCTTTATTTGCTCAGTCAAAAATTTTAAATATCATGACAAGATGAATAATAATTTCATAAGTATTAAAGAATAGGTTTACAAATTTAAGTTTTTGTGCATATTTTTACTTTAATGTACGAGTAATGATAATGATAACATTTGAATGTATTTTTATTCTGCATGAATCATAGTATTGAAATTATGTATTGATTATTTAATGTAATAATTGAATCTCTTTACAATGTTTTAATGCCATTTTACTGCAGGTTTCCTGTCAATTTTCATATGATTTTAGAAAACTTTGATGTCTTAAAAATGCAGATCTTCCGCGTGATATTATGATCATTTTGAATATAAACACGAAATTATTAGAAGTTGAAATATTTAATTAATTATATGGCAAGAAGTTCCACTTTTAACCAGCAAAACTCACACTCAACTTGATTGCAGCTGGCGATATTGATTTTGAAAACCTGAACTGGGAAAAAGGTTACAATCCTACTCTGGCATATGGACGCAGTAAATTAGCAAACGTATTATTTGCCAAAGAGTTGGGAAAGCGTTTGGAAGGTATGTTAATTTTAATATTTCTTACAAAATAAATCGTAGATATTTTAAAAATAAATAGATATAAATAAATTCACAATTCGTATAATCTTTCGGTGTTTGGGCTATATTCGGTATATTTGTGAAAGAATATGTTGCCTATAGAAATGATTATTTTCTTCATTGCTAATCTTCAAAATATTTTGGTATATTCAACTTGATTAGGAAAAAAATTGTAGAAGATACGTTTCCCAAGACATTTGAAATTATTCTCAAACACGAAATTATATTTATCATCAAACTATAGTTTCATTCAACTATAATTGCCAATCATCGGCGTATAATTTGCATTTGTGATGAACTAAAAATCGGAAGATCTCATGAATTTTGTTTATTTTAGAATATTACTTTTAATCACATTAAATTTTACTTCTTAAAAACTACTTCTAAAATTCCATTTACGTTGTTCTTATTCCATAGGATCTGGTGTTACTTCGTACAGTTTGCATCCTGGAGTGGTAAACACTGAATTGAGTCGTCATTTTGACACTGCCTATTTCAAAGGTGGTCAATGGATATTTGACAACATTGGGAAACTTTTTCTTAAAACCCCAGAGCAAGGTGCTCAAACAACTATCTACTGTGCAGTATCCGAAGAAGCAGAAAAGGAAACTGGTTTATATTATAGGTAAGGACAGATTCATATATTTGTCACGTTTTCTGAGCATGGGTAGAGTAGTCAGTGGGCACAACTGTAATTAAAGAGTATAACTATATAATGTGAGAATATAATAACAAATTAAAGTCTTTAATGGAAAAGGGGTCTTATAGGCGAAATAATTTTCTCAGAAAATCGCCGACTATTCTTTGATTAAAATCAATAATTATTCATAACAAGAATCTATTCATAATTTATTGAGCAGAGTACGCCGGATACATATCAACTCTCAAATTATTATTCGGCATAATCACGTACAAACAATATGAATTTCAAAGCATTTTTAGAGCGGGTTTGACACATTTTGACCTTTTCTAAAACTACCTCAATTGCATTCTTACGAATACTTGAGAAAAACATAATATTTTATTTTTGGATTTTAATTTTTCGAATTTTGTGTTGTATTTAGAAATGCTTACATTTGATTAATATTATGTTGCAATTCAATAATTAATGTGTTTGTCATTCAGCGACTGCCGGGTTGTACAACCCAGACCACAAGCATGTGATATGCAAGTTTCTGAACGTCTTTGGAATGAAAGCGCGAGACTGGTAGGTCTTGGAGACTGGGATCCCTTCACTGCCAAGGAGACTCCTGATCATCTTTTCAGTTCCTGCAGCAAAGTGTCCTCGTAATTTTTCTCCAGGCATGGCGATTCAATTTCGGACGAAATAATTACTATTCAAAATATTTGATTGACCTCCTGGATTTGTATATATTGAAGGTTGTTGTATCCAGTATAGCAATCTATCTGTGATATGAATGTTTTAAAAAGTAGGTGCATCCAATTTTGGTAATACTTGAAGAATATCGTTTGTGATCAGTGATGTGTTATTACTTATCTCGTTAAGTTGATGTTGATAAAACTTTTTAGTTAAGTTTAATTGTAGCTAGTATGTCATTTCTATTAGAAAAGTTAATTTTATTGTTATTTTAATACTACACTTCTTCAGTATACATAAATAGTTTCATCTGCATTCCTTCAAGGTACTGGATTTCTCTTTAAAATATTGAATCTCAAACACACTGTATTTGAATGAAATGGAATCCATTTATTCATAAAAATCTGGCTTTTAAATAAATAAATTTTTATTTATAGTTTTTCAACAATAAACTATAATTGTAAAGTAATACATTGTACTCCCTATGTGATAAAGAATTCTACATGTAGTTTGTATTTGTACATGTATGTATGTTACATGTTCATCAGTTGGGGGCTGATGGGTTGCGAATTACGATGGGCGGTATGTATGTCCGAACTATCACATACATTATTTTACTTCTTCAAAATATTTCTTGAAGCTAGGAAAACTATAGAATGTAGTGTACAAGCGTTTGCCACGCATCGAGATTGACTTTTATGTTGATAATTGAAAATACAATTATGCTCACTCAGAAGTAAGATAACTTTTAAAAAAATATTTCCTGCAGACAAAACAGTAATTTATGAAATCAGATGAAAGGGTCGGTATTCTTAGTAGAGTTAATACGCACATACTTTGTTAATAGCCGAACAAAACCCTAGTAGCAGCACGCTGCCCCCACACAACTCCCAGTACCCCCAGCGTTCCTCAGCCATCCATTCTCTGGCATGCACCAGCAACGGACGGACACGCTATAGTGCTCGATGCAATCGATTTCAAAAAATAATATTTCTCTATAACGAGCAACACCAAAATAAATTTGTCCAAAAAATTCCACTGGTGGTAAGCTCAATTAAACGAGTAGAGGATGTATTTTCAATACTTTCTGCAACTTTTCCCGAGTTCTTCCCCCGGTGGATAATGAAATCCCGAGTTCTTCCCCCGGCGGCCCCGACCTACTCATCGGCTTACCGTGTTTTCCCAACCAGGTACTTCCCACCAGCGGAGCACCGCTCCAGACAGGTAGAGCTTTAGGCTCCCGACTAATCTGTCAACATGTATAGTAGTGTAGTGCATGTATGTTTGTAACGGCTGAGGAAAAGACAAAGAGGAAGGAAAGATCGCGCGTCGCGTGCGGTCCGTCGCTGGTTTGTCAGTGAAATACTGGCATTGGGCGTGTTTTGGTGGAGAAACCTTGGAAAACTGCCGATCGCAGCCGCCGGCCGATAGAATTCTCCTCCAAACAGCGGTTTAATTCGAACTAACTATCGAAAAGTCCCCCTTTTTCGGAAATCAAAACCTACGACCTCCTGGTCAGAGGTATTACAATGACAACAGGTGATATCCTGAGCTATCCCAGCCGGTGGTGGAAAGTCAATTTCGTTTAGGGCCCTAAAATAATTTTGAAAGGGATCTTTTGTAACTGTTTTTTTAGGGATTATTCATTTGGATATCATGTGTGGATAATATGCGGCAAATTAATTGTTTTCAATACATTGAGTAAAATTAGACTAAAAAAATTCCTTCTGTGGAGGGGCACAGCCTCCCTGGCCCCTTACACCCATTACAGGTATGCACTCTTTCCTTCCTAGCCTAGCCATGACCCTGACATCTGGAAGCGTACTATATACCTTACATCTCTTCACAAGAAACGCGCATTTTCAAAGAACAAGCGAAAGCATTCAGTAAAAAAACGAATTGTCGTTTAACTCATTACTCTCTGGAAATGAAACATTTCGCGAAATGTTTGTAACTTCATTTCATATGTGTTTGATCTCCATCTTCATTTATAATGAATATAGAATACGAATCCATTAATATGTGATGACTCACTTATTTATTGTCATTATTTTGTATTACAAATTTAACACTTTACAAGAAACTCCTCACTCCAACTTCTTTTAAAACTCAGTTTCTTCTGGCAAGTTAGGTGTATCCAAAATCATTTTAAAATAAAATATTTCTTAACATACAAGATGTAAGCCCAAGATATTTGGTTATTTATTCAAAAATACTTTTGTAATTACCCTGGCATGTGTTTTGTGTGTCACCTGGCATAATAACTCAGCTGTCTAAAATATGACGTAGCCAACATGAACATCGCAACATCTGAAAATTAATATTGATTTCCTTATTTTCAATTATTTGAGTTAATTTAATGACGCATGAAAAGCAATTAATGTTGCCACGTGACTAAAATTGCTCATTTGGATGAAAAGTACGTTGTGTGAATGGAATATGTGTTCATTTATGTGGGAGCTACATTATTTTCATTTCACAATTCTGATAGTGAACAACTAGAAGACATTATGAAGGTAAATACAGGAAATATGGGGCTTATAAAAACGGTAAGTGGAAATTACTGAACTAGGGTTTTTTGTAATTACTTGTTAATTTCAACTAAAATTAAATTACTTTGCACATTGCGTTTATAATATATTCGTACGTCCTGATACACCTCCCAAGCGACATTGCTCTGATATCCAGTCAATCCCAATACTACCGGAGCATTTCTGGATCGCAAATAATGGAACATATACCAAAGAGTGATCATCCTATTGATTGGCCCTAAGGGTATGAAACATTTGTTTTCCTTTTCTACGTTTTCTACGAATGGTCTCAACGAGCTTCCCCCTCAGGAATAGGCGTTACCATTTGTACTCCCATATTGCTGTGGACAATGCAATATGAAATAATTTTATTCGAGTAAAAGTATGCTTTTATTTTGCATATTGAGTCTATTGTCAGACTTTGCCGGTTAACGATGTTCCTCATCCTTGGGACTGGTTTAATTCCCACACTTGGAAGGACAGAGAGACATGTAGAGAACATGGAGTATTCGCTTCATCGTGTCTAGCAATCTCCGTCTACATAAGCTTTTCTTCGTCACACAGCCACAGAAATTGAAACGATTTTAAAGAAAAGCTACAACTCAATTATGCCCCTTCCTGTACCCGGCACCAAGGGAAGCTAATACGCTGCCCACCTTAGAGCTTCGAATAAAATTTCAAATACTTACAATATTTCTCGTAATGCAATACAATTAGCCACGAAAGAACAATACAAAAATGGTCGGCCGTTCCCTAAAAATCTAAAAACGTACCAGTGTCGACCAGTGTAGTCGAAAAAAATACCTAAGTAACAGCCATGAGCCCAATACCAAAATCGTTATCAGTACGAGTAGCTACTATCGGTCGCGCCGAGTAAGGCCATACCAGTCTCGGTCGGACCTCGGTATTTGTGCTGTTTCGTCCGTCCAGTGAAGTGTAAATTGCAACTACGCAATTGAAAGTGCGACTTAACCTGTGCTCTGAAATTATTCTAAACTAAAGAGTGCTGTTCGTCCATCAACTTTTCGTTACTCTCATTCATGAGAAACGAAAACAATGCCATCACACGGGAGTTAATCAGTGCGGCCTTAACCACATTAAAGCACCACCATCACCAGCCATCAATATGGAATTTTACGCGGCAGGTCATTCCAACAGTTTCCAAACGGGTGCGAACACACTCCCCCTACAACGTCACCAATGGACACTAGCCCATCGGCTTCATCAGGTATCCCACCAACCATCAACTAAGCGGCTGCCGGGACTCTATCGGGTAAAAGATCGATAGAGACCTGCGATGAAGGTGACAGCAAACGCGCGGCAACGCAAGGTAACTCCCATCATGATAGTAACTCAAACCTTCAGAAACAGTACAACGTAAAAATTTCCAATATATTTAGCTTTCTCAACAAACAAGTGCTTGAAAAAACACCCGAACCAAAGAAAATCCCACCAATTTTTATTACCGCCACAAGCAATCTCGCTGAACTTACTTGTGAAATTAAAAATGGAATGTCTAATAACCTTAAAACAGAATTCAACACCAACAAAATGAAAATTCTATTGCGGTCGACACAAGATTTGTGGTGATAAAAAAATTCACAAAATAGACGAAATTGAATCAGTTCTCCAAATCAATAACGTGTGCAACTCAATAGTTAAACCAAAAAAAGAAGGGAAACAAAATATGAAATTCAATACTTGAGATGCTTAAATTTCGGTCATACCCTTAATCACTATAATTAAATTTTGTGCGCATTTTGTGCTAAAGACCATTTGACTGCGCAATGCCCCACCAAATCAATAACAATCTAAAATGTAAACTCTGTAATGGAGCACATAAGGGAGACCTCCGATCTAATTAATGCTCTTACTACGAGTATCAAAAAATAATATATAAAGGCAGAATATTACGTCTCAGAGAATTATACAAAATCCTCTACCAATGCCATCACCTTCATTAAATCTCACAAATTTTCCTTCACTCCCGCAAGCAACAAAAATGCAAAATTTCACTCAAATAAACCCAACAACCAAACCCAGCCACCCCACTATCATATTACTGATAAACACTATCACAAACTAAACATTTAATTCATCCAACAACAATCCCTTTACGAACAACACGAACAAATTCACTCCAACTCTACAGAATATAATTCACTCAGTCACTAATTATGTATCAAGTATCATATACTCAATAATTCCAACAATAATACAAAGCATACAGAACTCAATAACCTCGTACTTAAGTAACAATTATGACCAACCTTCCCCTTAAAAACTTTCATTCTCAATTCAGTATCACTCAAACAGTATCTCAAACAAAAAAACGAACCAATACATTTCATCCAACAAAAGTAAGTTGATATAGCTTGCATAACAGAAACTCACTTCAATAGTTCAATTAACTTTTCAATACCAGGTTTGAAAACTTATAGATCAGACAGAAAAAGTGATTAAGGACGAGTCCTAATCTTAATGAAACAAAACACCCCACACTATCAGTTCATCCCACCACCCACCCCTGGCCTCGAAACAATAAGAATCAAAATACCGTTAAATAACAACACTGATCCCAACATAATAACAGCATACAAACCTCCCAAAATTAAAACAAGCAATAACAATATATCTACAGTATTACAATTACCCATCCCAACAATCATCACAGGAGACCTCAATGCTAAGCACCACTAATGGGGATGCCGAGTCACCAACTCTGCAGGCAACTTCTTACCTAAATTACAATCTGAAATACTATAATACTATATCTCAAATATAATAACTAACCTCGGATCACACATTAAAAGTCTCTTAAACAAAATTGAATCTTGGGCAAACATCTGGAAAATTCAACTTAATCCTGACAAAACAAGAGCAAAAATCTTCTCACTCAGAAAGTTTTCCTCCCCCCTCCGTTAGTAAAAAA